TGAGAGAAAAAAAAAAAAAAAAACTCATAGTTGCATAAGAATCGGCTTAATGGGCCAAGTAAAAGAATGTTGGATTTATTTTTTAGTATGGCCCAATAGCCTACATATTTTTATATGTTTTATTTTATGTGGACTCCACAATTAGATAAAGCAATATTTGAGATAAAGTTCAGTAATTAGGATTTTAATATAATTACTCTTCTAAGATAAGAAGGAAACCTTAATGGACAATAATTCTTCTAATGGAGTGTATCTGGCCTTCTTCTCTCCTTTATATTAGGATGGGCGACTCCCCTTTCATGATATAAGTAATTTTTCCATCACTCTAAGTTTTATAGTCATCTTAAGAGAATAAAGTGAGTCAAGAATTCAAGGTTCAACTATTATTTTCTCAACTTCTCTAATTCAATGACTGACAAAGGTATGCTCGTTTTATTCTTAAGTTGTATTGAATTCAAGATCCTACAACGTTCAATTCCGCATTATTGTTATGGTTATATGTACATTAATTTCTTACATTATGGTGTCGTCACCACATCCATGGGCCCCAATCCCGAATAATTGGTTACCAACCAGATTTAACTCAATTCATAGGAAGAGACTCACTATTGAGGCACCAATAGAGTCCAACCACAGACCATAGAAGAGCTCAGAGTCGACCAAAATATAGTACAAGATCTCAAAGAGAATCAGCTGAAATCCAACCATTTTTCGCACTTCCAAGATTCGAACTTAAATCACCCCTATAAAGAGAATTGTGTTCTCCACTGGCTACCACCTCCGGTGGTAGTGTATCCACATGTTGGCATCCATCTTTTTGTGACTTAGGCGAAAGCAAATTGATCTTTTTGTGATGTAGATGTAAGGCAATTGAATCCATCTTTTTGTGACTTAGGCGTAAGCTAATTGATCTTTTTGTGATTTAGATGTAAGCCAATTGAAAGAGTGGAGCCCGTGTACTCTAATAGTGACATGGGATTTTTTTTTTATTTTATTTTTTTATTTTTTTTTTTGTCAATAAGATATTTTACAAATACAATGACATTGACACAATACATCAGGATATTTAACTATGTAAAATTATTCAACACGGCATTGGGCATACAATAAGCCTAACAAACACAATATCATCCATCTCTCATAAAATTGCTCAAAATTTGGGATAATAATATTGTCAATTGAATATTATTGAACTACTTAAGTTGAACTGATAATAAATTTACCAATTGTATATTTGGTCTTAGTGTACTATTGTCACATTTTTATGTTCACCACTATATTTTGAATTAACAACCAAAGGAAGATAGCATCATTGTAGCCATTACTGACCAAATGACATTCACAGTTTATATGAAAAAGAGGTCTTTGAAGACTTGCCAAACAAAAGCAGACTAAAATTGAGGTTGATATACAACCATCGTGCATTTTTTCGACTTGAATCCAATTATAAAGATTCAACTTTAACATAATAGCATGCTATGAAGTTAGGCAAGTTCAAAAAAAAAAAAAAAAAAAGGTTGATTTACAATCAAACATTGAGGCCTTGACTTCAAAAAGAATACCTCATTCCTTAACTAACACCGCTCAAGTTTGGTTTGGTGGTCCCGAATTTACATGTTAGGTCATGTGGCATATTAAAAATGGTTGTTTCAAGAGGGGGGAAAAAATTTAAACCCGAATGGCACAGTATATGATAACTATATTTGGTGGTTGTAGACACTTATACTGTGTTTGGTTGGGAGTTTAGGAATAGATTTAAAAAAGGAAAGAGAAAAAGTGTGTGAAATTAGGTGAAATATGGGTATATTTTATTCACATTTCACCTACTTTTTCTATTTTTCTTTCTAAATCTCTCCTCAAATCCCTCACCAAACACAGTATTAGTTGCACCTCATGAGTGGAAAAATTAATTTAAATGTAATACATAATTTCTACCAATGAAGCAAAAAGAAATTACAGAAATTGTCGAAGTAAATAATTTCTCTGCCTCAAAACTTTCAAACAATTAACCTTTCTCTTTTTCATTTTTGATTAACAAGTAAGGGAATTCGCCCATTTAAACTGGCACAATTGACACTTTTATTTGTTTGCTTATTATTATTTGTGGAAAAAAATTAAGTTTATGGTAGTGCATTCATTGTTATGGAGAGATGGATGAAGAATGAGAAGACTTCGTGGTGGTTGTGGCATAATTTTCGAGATAACAATCCGTTGTTTCTTAATTTGTTGAAACTCTTTCCTATTTTTACAAGCACTAATAAATTTTCTAAGGTTTTGTTCAGATTTTGGATTTGAGTAGAGATTTTTGGAAGAAAAAGGAAAGGAAAGGAAGATGTGGAAAAAAAAAAAAAAAAACCCTTTATATTTCATTCGCATTTTTCTAATTTTTTTGTTTTTCTACCAGAAATTATTTTCCATATCCAAAATCTAAACACTGCTTAAAACTCTTTTATCTTTCTCCGCAATAAATTTGAAGGAAAGTGGTTAATTTGTAGAAAATTATCAATGTCTAATAAGATCAAACCAGTGAATCTCAAGATTGATATGATCGTTTTCACTTTCATTTAACAAAAATGCTTTAGACCACTAATTAGTGGTGGCTCTAATGATGTGGCAGTGGGTGGGACCCACTGCCACATGTGTTTTGTGCCTTGTTTTTTTTTTTCTTTTTTTTTTCAATAACAATCCGTTGTTTCTTAATTTGTTGAAACTCTTTCCTATTTTTACAAGCACTAATAAATTTTCTAAGGTTTTGTTCAGATTTTGGATTTGAGTAGAGATTTTTGGAAGAAAAAGGAAAGGAAAGGAAGATGTGGAAAAAAAAAAAAAAAAACCCTTTATATTTCATTCGCATTTTTCTAATTTTTTTGTTTTTCTACCAGAAATTATTTTCCATATCCAAAATCTAAACACTGCTTAAAACTCTTTTATCTTTCTCCGCAATAAATTTGAAGGAAAGTGGTTAATTTGTAGAAAATTAGCAATGTCTAATAAGATCAAACCAGTGAATCTCAAGATTGATATGATCGTTTTCACTTTCATTTAAAAACTATGTGTAGTCTGGAACATTATTTAGTGGTTCAGGAGCAAGTACATATAGTGTTTTAAATTTATTTATTTATTATTTATTTAAATAGTAGTACATATTACTTTTATATTATGTTTTTGGTAAATAATAGTACAAGTGTAAATGGTGTGGGAAAAAAAAAATACTATGACATAAAAAAGTTGTTTTTTCAATCGTTAGATTTGGATAAAGAGTAAATCTAGCCATTGATTAGTAATACTACACAATGTAACCATTTATTTACCACAAGAATTAAACTAATTACTTATTGACAGACTCACCATTTATATATTTTTTTATTTTTTATTTTTTGAATATGATGCCTAAAATTAATTTTGTAGTTGGACCCAGTACCTGGACTTTTGAATCCTATGCACTGTTTGTAGTTAGTAATCCTACTCCACAAGTCCTTGTTAAAAATCACTCCTGTACGATGACAGTGCTAACACATTTCAAATCTGAACAGAAGACATGAATGCCAGATATGAGTGATCAATTTTTAGACACAGTAGTACAATTTCATACTTTGGCATTAATGTCATGTGAAATGACTCCACATTATTAGAGCTTGGTATATGGTAAATTTTTAATATGATTAATTAACACTATACTGCCCCCATTAACACATCTTTTTACAGGGTCATTTTGAGTTTGACATGGTCTAATATTAGCTTAACTCTAATACTTTCTTCACCAAGATTGGCTCTCTATGTCCTACCAAAGAACTGAAAAATGACTGGAAATTTTAATGGGAAACAATAACAACAACAACAACAACAAACCAGTGTCCTATATCTGTCCAATTACTATCCTCACCAGAACACACTTGTTCAAGCTGACCTACCTTTCACAACTGTGCTAATGTTCAAAAGATGCTAATGTTTTGCCATTCAATGTCGGATTTAGGGGACCGACCAACTCCACAAGGACCAGGGATCTTTTTGTCTAAAAATCTTTTGTCCCTCTCTCTCAATTTACTCAAAGTCATTGAATCATGCGACAATCTCAAAATATGAGAATCTCTATGCATGATCAAACAACTACAAATTAATCAAAAACAGAGGAAAATAGGTTTTTTTGGAACAGAGAGTGCTCAACCTTGTGTGAACCATGTGAATGAACTACAGGAACAAGTGGGAAAAGAAAATTTTAATGGATCTATATTTGAACCAAGTCCCCATTGTGTAGAGATGTGTGACAATGCAAGTCTCGAGACCATCATTATCAATTTGGATTCACATCCACTCTATTTCATGGATTGAACAGATCATTCTACCATATTATCGGCGGAGTATATGTGCTACAAAATTTAGTAAAAAGAAACCAATACTAACAAATCAAATGTATTCTTTTTCTGGATTTTTCTTTATAATTAATCTGTTTTCTTTTTCTTTTTGGCTTATTTAACAGGGAGTAGGTTTTGAAAACCTCTAAATACAATTGAATACAGAGAAAATGATTAGATATAGATGGACTATACTGTACTCATCATTATTAGGAGATTCCCAGCCTAACTTTTTCCTTTCAAACCTGCATCAATTGTTGTTGAAATCATTCCAAATCACCAAAAGCAAATTTGGCAAATCCTCATAGAAACTTTCCAGATCCCCAAAAGCTCATTTGGGTACCTTCAATTTTCACCATTTTTCCAGTAAAACTTCTACACAATTATCAGTTATTTGACTCAGAGAGAATTCCATGATTAGAAATACTATGCACTAGGAAAAAGTACTCAGAAAATAAAATGTGGACCAAATTCACTACGAGTGTTGTCCATACTAAATTTAAATCTACACCATTTACTTAATTTTTTAGACACTTCTCAAGATAATTGAAGTAATCAACAAGACAAATTCTAGTCTATCATACACTTTTGCAGCAGAAAATCCTGTGAGTGAGAAATATCAAAACCATAGAATTGTTCTAAACAAAGTTGAAAGACAGAAATCTTCATACCAAGTAATTTTCCCTTCACTACTGATCAAAAGAATTCAAGTATTCCATTAATACTAAACAAAACTAAAGAAATATGTAAGCAATTTGATACAATGAAAGAAGAAAACCCAAAATAAAAAAACACCACAAATCAAGAGTTTGTTTCATGGGTTCTTACAAGCATAGATCAACAATGAGAATTCAACTTTCCCTTGCTCTTTCTCCACCAATTTCTCCTCCAACCACAGTCTACTATCCATCCCACTCCTAGTCCTGAACATGAACACCGCGTACCCAAAACCCGGATTGAAAAACCAATCATGAACATCCCACATGAGATCAACAAGCAACCCATCAACAAAAATACTCTGATTCCCTCTAAAATTCCATTGCAGCCTCTTTACTTGAACCACTGTCTTCTTATCAATACAAACTGACAAAGCTGGGTGATTTAGACCCTCATTTTCTTCGATGCAACATATCAAAATGTCGTGTTCAATCCCAGTATCACAGAATTGAGCCTTGGTGGAGTAATGGGTATTGCCAGAGAAGTGTTCTTGTCTCGAGATTAATGAAAATTTGGCCAATTTTGAACCAGATTTGAGCTTCTTGGTGATAGCTTCTTTGGCCAAGTCACCAAGAAAAAGGCCTAATTCTGAATCAACCATGACTACAACATAGTATTGGGCAATTGGCTCAGGACCAGCATTGTATTTTGCTGCAGAGAGGTCCCAGAAGACTTCAAACTTTGAATTGTTGAATTCAAATGCTTTGTTTCCTTTCTTTTTCCTGAATAGCCTGGAATTTGTGTTGAGTTTGAATGCGGTTGATGGGTTTTCGCTGAAATTCATGGTTAGGCCTTGATTAGTTATGTTGTTCTTGGTCCAAGTGGTTGTGATCAAGAGATGTTTTTGTGTGGAAAGAGAGATTTTGTAGAGACATGTGATTGTGTTTTGGATTGAAGGTATTGGATTTGGAGAGGTGAAAGAATGGTTTGAAAGACTAGAACAAGAAGAAGGATCAGATACTTGTATTGCACATTCACCAAAACAGGAAGCTATGTCTCTCATGGTGGAGAGAGAGAGAGAGAGAGAGAGTTTGGAGGTTTGTTTTTTCTGTTTGGGCTTGTGAGAAGAAATGAAGAGATTAAATTAAGGGTATGTATGAAGTATTAAAATATGAACTCTCTCACCTTGAAATCTGCATCTTGTGAGAAAGATGAAGAACAGAACAGTGGGACAGAAACCTTGAAGGAAGCTTTGTTTCTTTAATCTTTCTTGACAGTTCATCTGAGATATCGAGAATTTGTAAAAATGATTAAAATATAGAGGTTGGACCAAGTCTGAAACCAGATATACTGTGACATCAACGTCATGGTTTGTTTAAATTTCTTGTTTAACTTATGATAAATGATTAGTTAGAATAACAAAGACCAGAAGTTTCAAACTCAGTGAATTAATATACAGCAATGTTACATCTCACTAAAAAGTGGTGCTCTAAAGCACCAATAATGAATTGTCACCCATTTTTTTTTTAAAAAAAAAAAAAAAAACAATGCAGAAAAACATAAAAAAAAAAAAAAAAAACAATGCACAAAAACATTGTGGCAATGTTACATCCCACTAAAAAGTGGTGCTCTAAAGCACTACTAATGAGTTGTCACCCACTTTTTTTAAAAAAAAAAAAACAAGGCACAAAAACATTGTGGCAGTGGGTCCCATCCACTGCCACATCATTAGTTGTAGTACTAATTAGTACTCCCACTCATTTTCCATTAATATATTACTAACTACATGAATTGAAGAAGTTGATTACTGGGTTTGGACAAAAATGGTCTTCGGTATCAGTAAAAATAAAGGCTCCCTTTGGTAAGACTTTCTGACTATGATTGAGAATATGAATTGTATTTTGAGTTTGTGTGTTTTGAAATTATGATTTGAGTGTAGAAAATTTGTTTGGTTATGATTTTTGAATAGAGTGTTGAATTGAGTGTGGAATTGAGTTTTGAAAATTTGATATGACATGTGAAGTAAGAAAATCTGTATGGTTATGAGTTTTGGAAAGAGTTTTCAAAACTTAATTCAAATTGTTATAACTCATAACAAAACACACTACTTTCACACTGTTGAAAATTCTGATCAACACTCATAACCAAACTTTTTTTAAAATTCAATTAAAAATTTTTATTATTAACAGAAAATAACATTGATCAATTTTTTAATTGAAAATACTACAAAGGAAATAATTTTTTTTCAAAATAAATATTTAAAAAATTTAAATCATAAATATTTAAATAATTTTAAAAATTTTAAAAATTTAATAAGTAAAAAATTAAAATAAATATTCAAAAAATTTAAATAATTTAAAATTTTAATATTTTAAATTTAAAAACGACTCTACACTCAAATCGTAACCAAACACATAAAACAAAACTCAATTAAGAAATTATTTTTAAAACTCATAACCAAACACATAATTCGAAATTCTATACTACTTTCATAATTCTAAACTCAAATGTAACCAAATACATAACAAAAAAATTAAAATATTTAAAAATATTTTTATAAAATAGAGTTTGAATTTATTTTTATAAAATATTTTAAAATTTTAAAAATTAAAATTGTAATATTTAAAAATATTCAAAAAATTAAAAAATTTAAAAAATCCTAACATATTTAAATATTAAAATATTTAAAATCTTAACAAAATTAAAATATTTTTAAAATATTTAAAAAATTAAAATATTGATTTGAATTGAATTTTGAAAAGAGTTTTGAATTATGTGTTTGGTTAAGAATTTCGAAAAGTAATGATTATGTTTTGAATTGAGTTTTGAGAAATGGGTGTAGAATTATAATTTGAAAGCTCAAAACAAACACCACACTCAAATCAATAGGTGAAACTATAATTTGAGAGGCTTATCAAACGGAGCCAAAGATATTCAGGTGATGGAGATGATTATGATGCTGTTTGACCCCACAAGTTAAAACCAGTCTGTTGACCCACCCACTTCTCCTCCCAACACACCTGTAGTTAAAAATACCTCTATTTTTTTGAGACCTCCACAAAATCACTGATGGCGTGGGCTCCACATATATATGAGTAAATTCTATACATACATCAATAGTTGAAATTCAAAACAGGGTGTGGGGATCTCCAAAAAGTGAGAGTCTCAAGCATTTGTCGAGAACAATATGGAGGATTGGATCCTCTTTCTTTCTCTAAAATTTTATGTTCTATTTTCTAATACATTTAGAGGTTGTTTGAAAAGTGAGAAAATAATCAAAATTTAAAAAAAAATTACTACTAAAAATTCAACTTTTTTTTTTTTTATATATTTTTACACATTTTTTTTTAATGAAAAGTCAATTAAAATAGTCAATTTCTAAACAAACACTTATTTACAGTTATAGTAGTATGTGATGAAAATCTTAAAATACGATTGTGTAGCTTAAAAATGTAAGATTGATGAATAATACAATTTCAAGACAGAGAGTCTCATGCCTAATATGAGTTTTGAACTTTTATTCTGTAGTTGTTTTTTCAAATCGTATAAGTACTTTCTAAAAAATAGATTTAAAAAATAAACTTGTATATTATTTTTCTTATTGTAATTATACAAACTAATAATATAACAAATCTATTTTTACATTTTTTAAATAGAATTAATGATTTGGTAACAGTTGGGAAGAATAAACATTACATTTCAATTGTAAGATCCCATGAACCTTTTAAATTTAGGTCCATAAAGATGGCCGCCTCCCCTCCTCCATTCCCCTCGCCTCTCCTCTCCTCTCCTCTCCTCTCCTCCATAAATGATTCATTCAATGTTTTTATATAAAATCCCTCTCCTCCATAAATGATTCATTCAATCTTTTATTTATTTATTTATTTATTTATTTTTAATTCACAGTTAAGTACCAAAAAAAAAAAAATGAACGTATGGTGATGAAGTTAGAAGTTGCATGAGATTGAAGAGGTGAAAAAGAAAAATGAACTATTATTTAAGCTTTACAGAGCTGTGCTACATCCCTTATTTCATCACTCTCAATTACACTTTTAATGAGGTGGTAAACAAACAATTTTGAAAAGAGAGAGAAGAGTTTAAAGAAAGTTGATTAGTTATTGTTTGTCACATCATTAGAGATGTAATTGGGGTGATAAAATGAGGGGATAGGACATTTCTCATGTTATTATTACAAACTTTTAATGAAAAAAATGATTCATTATCCTAATTTTGCCCTATTAATTCCACCCTTAATGATGTAGAGTTAGGGGCTAAAAATGAGACAGAAAGGAATGTGAATTTTACAGCTACACTATTAGAAGTGAAATTGGGGAGTTTCAATTAAGAAATGTCGCAAGACTCAACTTTATCTTTATAGGAGATTGAAAATGTTTGGATGAGGGAATGTATAGAGGATAGGGAATCCCATAAAAACACGCAAAACAATTAATTGAGAGCATTATTGATTGAAGGGTACAGATGAGGAGGGGCACCGTTTTGGTGATGGACCCCAGACGGTCAAGCCCTAGGGCATGTCCCTCATATTATGGTCAAGTGAATCGGACTGAATAAATGATCCTGAAGTGACCAACTATGTTGGTAGAATTTTAGAGAGAAATGAGAATTTCATTATTAAAATTTAAAACTTAATAGTTTAATGCTGCTAATCTCATTCAAGTGTTTGAATAATTTATAAATCTTAGTTTGAAAAAAAAAAATTTGTAAAGGATTTAAGTGTTTGATTTAACCTTTTAAAATATATGAATGGAATGTATATTTGTGAATTGAGCTGAAATTTGAAGTTATCATGGGGTTTCGGAATCAAATACATTCCAAATTATAGAATCATGACACTTGGAATTACTTTTCCATTGTCCTCAAGATTTTTATAATTTTTAAGTCGTGTTTAATTTATAAATTTAGACAACAACGGTAGGAAAAACAAAAGTCTATTCCAATTAAATAGCAAACTGTGTGATTTAATAAGGGTCTGGCTTTGGTCCAGTCCACCATCGGACTGGACCGTGTTGTTGGGCCCGTGGGAGCCCACCACGGGTCCCGTTTTGAAAATATGAGCCGTGCAATGTGTAAAACTCTTCGAGTACTATATGCTTGTAAAAAATCACGTTGATCGGATATCGATAGCTATGCGATCAAATCAGTTTTTTGTCAACCGTTAATTTATTCACCGTCCATTTTTTTTATACAAAACTGAATTGATCACATAGCTATCAATATCCGATCAACGTATGTTTTTATAAATATATAGTACTCAAAGAATTCTACACATTGAACGGTTCAGATTTTCAAAACGGGACCCGTGGTGAGCCCCCACGGGCCCAACAGCACGGTCCAATCCGATGGTGGACTAAACCAAAGCCAAACCCATTTAATAAAACCACAACAAGGGAAAAAAAATACTAAAATTAAATTTCATAATGTAAATTTTTAATTCCCAAACTCAAAAAAGAAAAGTCTTTGAAAAACGAAGGCATGAAAGAAATTTCTTGTTCAAGTCTAAAACTAGAACAAGAACACACACTGGAAAAATAAAAAATAAATAAATAATAATAACAATAATAATAATAATAATAATTTACTTATAACAATTTTCAGATTATTGCTGTAGAAATGCAAAAAAAGAAAGACAGCTGAGGCGTGTGTTGAACACACTTTCCTAAAGATCGTTATGTTCTCGCTACGGTGCTCGAGAACAGATGACGCCAATCTCCCAGGATGCAACGACTATTCCAGAATTGTAGCACTACAATCTAGGTCTGGCGAACATACTGAGTTGTATCTCTCTCTTACAGAAAATATAAGAACAGTATGCAAACAGTATGTAGAGGATAGAGACGAAAATGGAGGGAAAAATGAATTAGGGAAATGGTTGGAGAAAGCCTGTATTTATAGGCAATAAGGTGACTATTTGGATGGGTTTGGAAGCCCTCCGAACAGGTGTGAAACTGAAAAACTGCCGGAGTGAAGAGAGGTGACTAGAGAAGGAAGGGATGCCATTTGAAAATCTGGCGCAAGTGTTTTAATTTTTTCCCGTTAGGAATTCAAATTTTCCAGCAAGATTTGTGGAAATAAAATAAATAAATAAAAAAATTTAAACAAATTTTGTCCAAAAAATTAAAGCTAGGACCCCGAGCCGAGCCTAACCTAGCCTGCGCTCGACCCACAACCCGCGCAGGCTTGTCTCAACCAGTCAGACGGATAGCGGCGTCAGCACGAGCGCGCGTGTGTGGTGGTTTTGGGCTATGCCCACTTTGTCTATAACTCCCCTCCTTACAAAACTTGGGGTGTCCCTCAAGGCCCAACCCAAGTGTGTACACCTAGAGCTTATATACTCATACTAGTTCTCTTAAAGTTTCAATGTGGGACATCCAATTTAAGGAAACCCACATTTGGCTCTTCAACTTTCCATTTCACGAATCCGAAAATGATGTCAACTTTCCATTTACTCATAAATAGTTTTGACAAATTATCTTTACCGTGTGACTTGCCACGCGACAAGGAACACGTTACCTTTTTGGACCCACCCCAAAAGACATGTAGGCCCAACTCAAATTTGGGCTCAAAGGTGGCCCAAAATATGTCCATGAAAATCATAATTTCCAGGAATCCCCCACATGAATGGAGTTGACGGAAACGGACATGCAACAATATGCAAAAAATGCGAGAGAGTGCATTTAGGAGATACCTTACTTCGGAATAGGTAGCTTTTGGTTTTAAACCTCCCCTAGTGAAAAACCTATCGGACTTTACTAGCTGTCCAGTGGACGTGATACCTTGAACTGTTTAGCTGCTGGTGTAAGCCAAGACTATAGATTACACATAGAGTATTAGTAACCACAGTCTTGTTCTACGATTGTGTTCATTTTGGCCTTGAACAATACCTAGTTTAGTGAGTGCTCTAGAGAATTCAGCTTTTTAATTCTCATAGAACTGGCCTAATTCACAATCATATAGGAAATTCTTATTAAGAATGTCTTGCCACACTCCACTTGGACAACCAAGATATAAGAATCATTAAAAGCAAAGATTATCTTGACTACGCTGCAAGGATCACTCTTCTTATCATAGAAAATGGGTAGGAGAGAGAACCTCTCTAGTGATTGGGGAATCTCCATAATTTGGTTGTCCCATTGAACCTAGTTCTTGGGATCTCCAGTCTTCTAGGTTGGGTTGCCATTATGGCGATTCTTAGTTAGTAAGCTTTAATCCCATTTCTCTCGATAAACAAAACGCTTGCTTTCTAGCTAGCCATTTTGTTAACGGATCTGTGATATTATCTTTAGACTTTATATAGTCAATGGTAATTATACTATTTGAGAGCAATTGTCTAACGGTATTATGTCATCAACGAATGTGTCGAGACTTCTTGTTATACATATGATTTTGTATTCATTATATTGTTGCTTCACTGTCACAGTGTATGCATATAGTTGGCGCGGGCTTTGGTCGCACTGGAATATCTTCTAGAAAATTTTGAAGCCACTCTGTTTCTTCTCTAGTTTTATCTAAAGCTATAAATTCATATTCCATTGTGGACCTTGCTATGCAAGTCTACTTGGAGGACTTCTAAGAGATTGCTGCGCCCAGTAGCGGAGGGACTTGGGGTTTAAGGGGGTCACGTGCCCCTCCTGACTTTTGAATTTTTTTTAGTGGGGTCTGCTTTCACACTGTGCAGTAGTGCCCCTCTTAATACTAATACATAGCCCTTCCAAATATGTTAAACCCACTGACACACATGCACCCAGGTTCGTTTTTTTTTTTTTTTGGAATCCTAATCCCAATCAAATACTGACATATAACCTTTTTCTGGATAAGTACACACAACTCCAATTACAGTAAGGCTAAAACTCTAAAATCCTAAAAGTGTATAAAATTCTTTGTTTTTTTATTTATTCACAGTACTTGTTAAGTATCTTCGTATTTTCTTTGTCTTCTTTGTCTCCCTTTGTTGCTTTGCAATTATACTATTTGGACAAAAACTTTGACGATTTAATCAGGCTTGGTTTAGTAAACTTCCTAATTGGTTGGAGTATAGCGTAGCCAAAAATGCAGCATTTTGTTTATGCTGTTATCTTTCAAACGCCGATATTAGAGATCAAGTTAGTGGTGATTCTTTTGTTGGTAAGGGTTTCTCAAATTGGAAGGAAAAAAAAATTCAGACTCATGTTGGAGGTCCTAATAGTGCTCATAATCAAGCTTTGAGTAAATGTCAAGACTTGTTAAACCAAAGCCAACATATTCAAACGATTTTTTTCAAACAATCTGATCAAGCTCGAATTGAGTATCAAGCCCGTTTGAATTCATCGGTTGATTGTGTCAAATCTCTTCTAAGACAAGGATATGATGGGGCTAGTAATATGCAAGGTGAGTTCAATGGTCTTAAAACACTTATACTGAAAGAGAATCCTTGTGCATATTATGTTCATTGTTTTACTCATCAATTACAATTGGCACTTGTAGCTGTGGCAAAGAATCATAATCAAATTTCTTTACTTTTCACTTTGGTTTCTAATGTAGTGAATGTTGTTGGAGCATCATGTAAACGTCGAGATATTGTTAGGGAGAAGCAAGCTGCAAAAGTTGCTGAGGCACTTAATACTAGAGAGCTATCCAGTGGGCAAGGCTTAAATCAAGAAACTAATCTTAAACATGCTGGTGATATACATTGGGGTTCACATTATGGTACTTTAGTCAGCTTGGCTAGTATGTTTTCAACAGTGATTGATGTGCTTGAAATGATTTTGGAAGATGGTTCAAATTCAGAACAACGAGCAAAAGCAAATGTATTGTTGGACTCAATTCAATCATTTGAGTTTGTATTCAACCTTCATTTGATGAAAACGATATTGGCTATTACAAGTGAGTTATCACAAGCACTACAAAGGAAAGATCAGGATATTGTTAATGCCATAAATTTAGTTCAAATTTCTAAAGTATGGTTCCAAAAGATGAGGGAGAGTGGGTGGACATCTTTACTGGATGACATTTTGTCTTTTTGTGAAAAGAATGAAATTGATGTTCCCCAAATGGAAGATATATTTGTAGCTCGAGGGAGAAAAAGGCGCAATGCTCAAGAAATTAAAAACTTACATCACTATCGCGCTGAGTTATTCTACACTGTTTTGGATATGCAAATTCAAGAACTAAATGCTCGTTTCACTGAATTGAACACTGAGTTGTACCTTTGTGTGGCATGTTTGAATCCATCTAACTCTTTCTCTAGTTTTGACAGGAAAAAGTTAATTCATCTTGCTGAATTTTATCCCAAAGAATTTTCTTCAGTGGAGCTCATGGTACTTAATAATCAACTTGACACATATATTATCGACATGCTATGCAGTAGTGAGTTCTCAATGTTGAATGGAATTGCCGATCTTGCTAAGAAAATTGTGGCGACTGGAAGAGACAAAGTATATCCATTGGTGTATTTGCTCTTGACTTTAGCATTAATCTTACATGTTGCAATTGCTACTGTTGAGATGGTGTTTTCAGCTATGAATATTGTGAAGAATCGGTTGCGGAACCGAATGGGTGATGAATGGATTAATGATAGCTTAGTTGTCTACATTAAGAGAGATATTTTTTATGGAATTGACAATGATACTATTATGGAAAGATTTCAAAAGATGAAAACTCGACAAGGTTAATTGTAAAAATTTAAAATTAAAAACTATTTGTAATGAATATTAATTTTTAATGTTTAACATTAGCTCGAAAAATTATTATTATGTTATTGTTATTGACTGGGGAAGAAAAATTTTGAGATTGTAATTAATACGTGCCCTCCCTATATTAAATTTCTGGCTCTGCCACTGGCTGCGCCTCCCAGGGTACAGACATATCCACTAGTGGACCTTGAATCATTGGTATCCGAAATCCAATTTGCATCACTGTATCCTTCAAGTACTGCTGGATATTTTGTATAATGCAAACCATAATTTTGGGTATGTTTTAGATATCCAAGTACCCTAATTATAGCTGTCCAATGATCTTTCACTAGGTTCTTTGTGTACCTACTTACTTTGCTGACTGCAAAGGCTATGCCAGGTCGTGTGCAATTCATTAAGTACATCAAGCTTCCAATGATTTGGGAGTATTCTACTTGTGATATGCTTTCTCCTGTATTCTTTAATAAATGAGCATTAGCATCTATAGGTGTCTTAGCAGGACAATTGTCATACTTCCCAAATTTTCCCAGAATTTTCTCAACATAGTGAGATTGAGATAAAGCATACCCATCAAATATTTTAGAAATTTTTATTCCAAGTATGACATCTGCTACTCCTATATCTTTCATGTCAAACCTTTTGTTTAACAATTTCTTGGTAGTTTTTATCATTTTGATATTGTCACCAATGATGAGTAGATCATCTACATAGAAACAAATGATTACATAACCTTTGTCGGTATTCTTGACATAGACACATTTGTCACGCTCGTTTATTCTAAACCCATCTGAAATCATAGCATGATCAAATTTCTCATGCCATTATTTCGGTGCTTGCTTTAATCCATATAAGGATTTGACAAGTCTGCAAACCTTCATTTAAATCTCCATTTAGAATTGCGATCTTAACATCCATTTGATATATTTCCAAGTTATACAAAGCTGTTATAGCAATCAACATACGAATGGATGTTATTCTTGTTACAGGAGAATAGGTGTCAAAGTAGTCAAGATCTTCCTTTTGTCTATACCATTTGATTACAAGGCAAGCCTTGTATTTATCACTTGACCCATTCGCTTTCATTTTCCTTTTGAAAATCCACTTGTATCCAAGTGGTTTGCACCCTGGAGGAAATCAACCAATTCCCAAGTATGATTTTGTAGAATGGACTTAATTTCACCATTTATAGCCTCTTTCCATAATGGTGCTTCAGGACCTAACATTGCTTCCTTAAAGTTTTGAGGCTCATTTTCTGACAGAAAAGTTAGAAAATTTGGACCAAAAGACTTAGATGTCCGTAGTCTCTTTCCACGTCTAGGCTCATCTTCTTGTTGGTCTTTGCCACTTTCCATGGCATCAATAAAATTTCGTTTATTAAAACTTGGCTCTTCCAATTCAAATGACTCGGCTTGTTCAGCCATTGTCTCTATATCTACAGGAATTTGATTTTCTTCATCCTTTTTCCAAGGAAAGATTTGTTTGAAAAAGGATGCAATTCTTGACTCGATAATAGTATTTGTGTGTATATCGGAAATACTTGATTTAATTACTAAAAATCGATACGCACTACTATTATTTGCATAGCCAATGAATACACAATCAACGGTTCTTGGTCCAATTTTAGTCTTTTTAGGACTAGGGACAGCCACCTTTACCAAGGATCCCAACACTTTTAAGTACTTATAAGAAAGTCTATGACCTTTCCATAATTCACAAAGTGTTTGGTTAATTTTCTTGTGGGGTATCGTTTTTAGGATATATTTGTTGATAAAATAGCCCCCCCCCCAACAAGTTCTGGGGTAAACCCAAACTTGTCAACATGGCATTCATCATCTCTTTAAAAGTGCAATTTTTCCTTTCAGCCACTTCGTTTGATTGAGGAGAATAAGGTAAGGTGGTTTGGTGAATAACACCAAGTTTTGAGCAAAACTCATCAAATAGTGCATCATATTCACCTATCACTTGTTACAACCTTAACCTTTTTTCCAAGTTGATTTTCAACTTCTACCTTATATTTCTTAAAAGCTTCTAAGGCCTCATCTTTACTTCGCAAAAAGGATGCATAGGAATATTTAGTGCAATCATCAATAAAAGTTATATAGTACTTTTTACCACCTTTAGTTTGCACAAATTTTAAATCACCAATGTCGATGTGAATTAAAGCTAGTGGTTCAGCACTTCTCTCAATTTTATTAAATGATGCTCTAGTCATTTTAGCTTCAACACAAACTTCACATTTATGATTAGGAGCAAGATTAAATTTAGGTAAACATTTTAGATTAACAAGTCTACACAAAGAACCATAATTTACATGTCCTAATCTACCATGCAAAAAATGAGAAGAATCAACAATATAAGCAAAATATATGTTCTTATTATTAGAAGCAATAGTTGGTACAACAGTTAACACATTGAGCTTAAACAACGCATCAGTCATATACCCACGACCTGCATACATTCCAGCTTTAGTAAGTACAACTTTTTCAGATTCAAATACTAGCCTAAACCCGTTCTTAATCAACAATGACCCAACAATTAAGTTTTTGCGAATTTTCGGAACATGGAGTACATTGTAGAGAGTGAGTTCCTTCCTAAGATCATCTTTAGGACTATCTTCTCTTGTCCTTCTACAGTTGATGTGGAGGAGTTTCCTATGAACAGTTGTTCGCCATTTTCCCCCACTTTGTAGGTTGCGAACATTTTCTTATCGGCACAAATGTGGTGAGTTGCTCCAGTATCCACCCACCATTCTTTAGGGTTGCCCACCAAGTTAGCCTCAAACACCACTGTGGAAATTTTGATGTCTGGCAATCCCTTAGAAAGATTGTATCCCTCAGTTATGTTGGCTTGTGCCAATTTCTTGCTAGAACTTGCTCTATCTTTGTGGTTTCGACAATCCTTTGCTCGATGTCCATCACCACCACACACATAGCACTTGCCTTTGAATCTTTTGTAATTCTCACATTTGAAGCCTTGCTTGGACCCTTTGCCATCATGCTTTCTTTTCTTTTCTTTTTTTTTTGTTGAATCTTGAACTCTATCCTTATTCCACAACATTTGCCTTAGCCTGCATGACATGGTTCCCAGACTTCTTCTCGGATTTCCAGTTGTCCTCTTCAGTCTTCAGCCGCATGATTAGTTCTTCCAACTTCATTTCCTTGCATTTGTGTTTAAGGTAATTTTTGAAGTCTTTCTACATTGGCTGAAGTTTCTCAATTATAGCAGCAACTTGAAATGATTCACTCAGAATCATTCCTTCGGAAATGATGTCATGTATTATTAACTGAATTTCTTGGACTTGGCCAACCACTGTTTTGGAATCTAACATTTAAAATCCAGAAAACGTCCGACAACAAATTTCTTTGCACCGACATCTTCAGTTTTGTACTTTAATTCATGAGATTCCCAAAGTTCTATGGTCGTCTTCTTTACATAATATACATTGTATAAAGAATTATCAAGTCCATTTAGTATGTAATTTCGACACAGAAAGTCACCTTGCTTTGCAGCAACAAGTTGATGATCAGCGTCCTCTCCCTCTGTCTGTTTTGGGGCTTCCTCAGGGATGTACCGGGCCATATGCAAAGTTGTAAGATAAAATAGCATTTTTTGCTGCCATCTCTTAAACTCTGTTCCAATGAATTTTTCCGGTTTCTCTCCATGGTTTATTGGCACCGTAGGAGTCACTGGTGGTGGAATCGAGAGTGTTGGGGTCAAGGTCGAAATAGTCTCAGTACTATCTGTTGCTATTTTTTTTGAAAATCACAATTTTAGAAACAAAATAAATACACACAAAGTAAACAAAATTGGATAACGATCTTAAGCTGTAGGAAAAACAAATGTCTTTTCCAATTAAATAGCAAACTGTGTGTATTTAATAAAACCACGACAACAAAAAAAAAATTCTAAAATTAAATTTTAGAATGTAAATTTTTAATTCCCAAACTCAGAAAAGAAAAGTTTCTGAAAAATAAGGGAAGGAAAGATATTTCTTGTTCAAGTCTAAAACTAGAACAAGAATACACTCTGGAAAAAAAACACAGAATTAATGTACTTACAACAATCTTCAAATTACTGTTGTAGAAATGCAAAAAGGAAAGACAACCGAGGAGTGTGTTGGACACACTTTCCTTAAGATTGTTACGTCCTCGCTACGGTGCTCAAGAACAGATGACGCCGACCTCTTAGGATGCAACGACTATTCCAGAATTGCAGCACTACAATCTGGGTCTGGCGAACAGACTGAGTTGTATCTCTCTCTCTCTCTTATAGAAAATAAAAACAATATGCAAACAGTATGTAGAGGATAGAGAAGCAAATGAAGGGAAAAATGAATTAGGGAAATGTTTGGAGAAAGCCTATATTTATAGGCGATAAAGCGACTCGAACAGGTGTGAAATTGAGAAACTGCCGGAGTGAAGAGAGGTGACCGGAGAAGGAAGGGATGTCACTGTTCAGGTTTGAATTTGAAAATCTGGCGCAAGTGTTTGAATTTTTTCCCATTAGGAATTCAAATTTTCTCGCAAGATCTGTGGAAATAAAATAAATAAATAAATAATTCAAACAAATTTTGTCCAAAAAATTAAAGCTAGGATCCGACCCGCGCACGGTTGGTCGGACGGCGGCGTGCGTATGGTGGTTTTGGGCCAAGCCCACTTTGTCTATAACTCCCTTTCTTACAAAACTTGAGGTGCCCCTTGAGGCCCAACCCTAGTGTGTATACCTAGAGCTTATATATTCATACTAGCTCTCTTAAAGTTTCAATATGGGATATCCAATTTAAGAAAACTCACATTTGACTCTTCAACTTCCCATTTCACAAACCCGAAACGACGTCAGCTTTTCATTCACTCATAAATAGTTTTGACAAACCGTCTTTACCGTGTGACTTGTCACGCGGTAAGGAACACGTCACCTCTTTGGACTCACCCCAAAAGACATGTGGTCCCTACTCAAATTTAGGCTCAAAGGTGATCCAA